GTCCACTGTGATATTTCAAACATTTTTAATACAAATGTTTATAAACAGTCCACTGTGATATTTCAAACATTTTTAATACAAATGTTTATAAACATGCCACTGTGATATTTCAAACATTTTTAATACAAATGTTTATAAACAGTCCATTGTGATATTTCGAACATTTTTAATACAAATGATTATAAACAATCCATTGTGTCCCAAGATACTAATTATAACCTACCCTGAGTTGCCTTTCTTGTTGCTTTTTCAACAAAATAACGATAAGCTTCTTTTTCAGGGTCATAAACCTAATAAAACAACATTCATAAAATAAGCTTTCACTATCTGAAGCATGTAGAAGCTTGAGGCTTAGTACAGCACACATTGTTACACAAAATGACATTCCAGATTGTAAAAACAGTAAAGTTACAATAAAACACATTAATAAATTTCAACAAATTTTCCACGAGTCATGGTATATCCTAGGAGACAAAAACCACATGAATAAAGGTACCTGTACCACCAGAATACCATGTGTTACTAACATAATCATATTTAGTCACCTACCACAGGGGAAGGTGTCAAAACATTTGGCATGTAATAAAATTATTTAAACCATAAGTGTTTTTAACTTAATTTTGTCTCATGTGGCACTTAAAAAGGTTTTAACACTTTTTATCTACATTTTCACAACAGGAAAGGTTATTATGCTGAGCACAATTTTTAAAATTTTACTCCAAAAAATATTTAAAAGACCTTCCAATGAAATGGTAAAACAAAGCATATTTTTTGTGACCCAATGACAGAGTACTTCAGATGTCTGTTTCATAAAAGACTTATTTAGATGTCATTTTAGGGTTAAACTGTATTTACTTGATTTTCAATCATTTCTGTCAGTACAATATACAAAAAAAAAAAAAGAAAAAAAATGACCTGTGGGACTATTATACTATTATAATAACTGACCTAAAGGACTATTTATACTATTATAATAACTGACCTAAAGGACTATTTATACTATGTTAATAACTGACCTATAGGACTATTATACTATATCAATAACTGACCTGTAGGACTATTTATACTATGTTAATAACTGACCTGTAGGACTATTTATACTATATTAATAACTGACCCGTAGGACTATTTATACTATATTAATAACTGACCCGTAGGACTATTTATAATTTGTTAATAACTGACCTGTAGGACTATTTATACTATATTAATAACTGACCCGTAGGACTATTTATACTATTATAATAACTGACCTGTAGGACTATTTATACTATTATAATAACTGACCTATAGGACTATTTATACTATATTAATAACTGACCTATAGGACTATTTATACTATAACTGACCTATAGGACTATTTATACTATAACTGA